TCCCCTAATTGACAGTGAAGAAAATGTACAGAAGGTATCGAATTGAATCTCAATTAGCCGAATCTTATTAAATTGTTCTTGGGGGAAAAAAGATTCGATAAAAATTTAAGAGAGGGAGAAGCCGGGAAGCCGCAGACGGGGAGAGAGCAGTGTCCCGGCTGGAAGCCGTAGGTGGCGGGTGGCGGGCGGTGGCTGTTTCGTCTTCATTCAAAACTCAGGGCTTGGACGCCGCTGTCCGGAGCCGCGCGGGCCTGTCCTTCACGGCTGCGGACACAGGCGGCGAGTCCTGGGGAGGACCGCACGGCCGGATCCAAGACGTCTCCGCCATGCGTGTGCTCACCGTGGGGCCCCCGCAGCTCGGGGAGGCGGCCCTCCCTGCCTCCCCCCGGCCAGCCCTGGCCGCGGCCGTGATGCAGTGACACCTCATGGGTCAGTCTCCACCACCCTCGCACACGTCCATGTCTCGAGATATAACTTAATCCCCCAAAATTCATCTTCTTAAAGCGCACGGTGCGGTGGTTTTAATGTGGGCGCAAGACTGTGTGCCCATCACCACCGTTAATGCCGGGACGGTCTCGCCACCCGGGCAATTGGGCACAGGGGCAAGAGGTGGCCTCTGAGCGTGCCTGGCGCCAGAGGTCCTTCTAGGGCGGTCCGCTGGCCTCGGGGACACAGGTCTCTCTGTCCAGGGCAGTGGTGCCAGAGAACCTGGAGCAGTCCGTGATCTGGGGTGACCTTCAGCAGTCACTCCCTATGGCTCCTGCCCCTGCCCGGGCCTCGCTAACGTGCTCGCTATCTCTGTGGATCCACCGGTTCCCGGCGGTCTGTGGACGGGGTCGCAGGACACGTGGCCTTTGGCGCTGGGCCTGTCCGCCCGCCGCAGTGACTTCTGGTGCATCCGCGTCGGACCAAGCCCAGCGCTGGGTTTTCCGGCCCGACCGGCTTCCACGCCGGGGACGGCTCTGCCCATCGTCTTTATGCTTCGCTGGCGGACGCTGGGGCTGCGTCCACTCCCCGCCACCGTGAACGCCCGCGCCCACGTCTCTGCGCGGACACGCGATCACACCCAGGAGCGGAGTTGCTGGGGTGGCGGGAACTTCCAGAGGAGCCGCCAGACTGTTTTCCACAGCTGCAGCACCGAGAACACATCGGGGTTCCCGTCTCCCCACATCCCCTCCACCGCCACCCCGGCTCGGAACTGGCCGCCTCTCTGCTTGTAGCCATCCTCGTGGCCGTGAAGTGGGGGCGTGCTCGGGAGGGGTCTGTGGGAGGGGTCTGTGGGTGCCGCCGGGTTTTGGGGGAGCCGGTACCACCTGTGCTGGCATTGCACGTGCCTGTGCCATGGCCTGGCCTCCTCGGTGCCAGCAATGACGGGTAGCGATGTCATCGTCTGCAGCCCGAGCCTCCCTCCTGAGGACGTGTGGGGCTTCTCTGCCATCTTGAGAAATGGCTGACAGCACCAGGGGTGGCTTCTGGGGTACGAAGGCTGTGAGTGGTCCTCCAGAAATGTGTTCTTGAAACGAGTGTGGAGTTGGGGGCCCCCAGTGCTGTGCTGCGTGGAGCATCCCTGGGGTCCTGCCTGGCTTCAATGCCGGCCAGAAGGATGAGGACAGAGGTCACTGGTCACTTTACATGTGGCCCTGAGTCCTCTAATGCCGAGATGCAGGTTCAACCTAGGGAGCCGTCCACCTGCGTCCAGGACCAGGCTGCATGGCATGCGTAGGCCCGAGGGCCTGGCCACACAGCAGAGGGTCTGGGGCCTTCGACCGCAAGACACTGACTGGCCCTGGCCTCTGGTGGGAGGGGCTCCCTTGCTGGCCGTGTCTCCTGGGTGCCGGGGGAGGGGCGGGGCCTCGGTCCTGCCTGGTTCACCTGCCCACCTTCCCTTCTCTGCCTGAACAACCCGCCGCTTCAGAAAGGAAGAACCTGGACCCAAAGAGAAAAAACAAACCGAGCTTTCCAGCTTCGAAACTGGTTGGTTTTTCTGCATAACAGCTGGGTGGCGTGGAAATGAGGGGGTTTCCATGGTAACCAATTACAGCTTATGATTGGTGAAAAATGACAGAAATATCCTGTGTGTAAAGTTATGCTGGGGCAGGCAGGCAGGCGCAGGCTCAGGTCTGCTCTGTTAATGTCCTGGGGCGATATTTCTCAAAGTGCTGACAGCAGGCAGGCTTGCACGTGGCTGCTCTTCATTCGGCCTGCCTGGTGGGGCCTGGTGGTACCTGGCGAGGCCTGGTGGGTCTGGTGGTAGCTGGTGGGGCCTGGTGGGATCTGGTGGTCCCTGGCGAGGCCTGATGGGGCTCCATGGTACCTGGTGAGGCCCGATGAGGCCTGGTGGTACCTGGTGGGGACTGGTGGGGTTTGGTGATACCTGATGAGGCTTGGCGGATCTCACGAGGCCTAATAAGGCCTGGTGGGAGCTGGTGAGGCCAGTGGTGCCTGGTGGACTCTGGCGGTGTCCAGCAGTGCCTCGTGGTGCCCAGTGAGGCCTGATGGTACCTGGCGAGGTCTGGGGATGCCAACGGTGTCTTCCGGGCTGAGGCACCTTCGCGGCCTGAAGTGGCGGCTCATTTCCCTAAGGGCCCGACTCTCGTCCATTTGTGCAAAATGGGGGGAGAAGCAGAGGTTCCGACTGCTCAGCCCCACTGAGTCGCCGGCACCCGCAGGAGCTGTGCTGTGTGCGCAGGGGGCTCCACACCGACCCGATCTGGCTGTGCGGTGTCGGGGGCCCTGGTCCCTGCACCGAACTTGGCTGGCGGTGCTGAGAAACTGCACACCGGCAGAAAATCAGTGTGGAGGCGTTCGCATAATAAGCAGTCCCTAATTTCTGCAGCAAAGCACTTTCCTTCTGATTGAAAAACCGGGGCCTGTCACTTGGGGGTCAGTGCCGTGTGGTAATTAGCGCTCGTTAATACACGTTTCCTCCTCCCACGTGCCGATGGCCGTGGGGACCAGCACTGTCCCAAGTGCCAGTGAGAAGGGCCGGCCTGGTGTGCCCCGTGTGTGGGGGGGGCACGCGTGCAGGTTGGGGGGGCACGTGCACGGGCATGCTGCACGGGCATGCTCACTCTCACACTGACACACACACATCAACAGTCACATACACTCACCGACACGTGGTCTCGAGACACACGCGCTGACACGGTGACTCACACTCGCATGCCGACTTCCTCCCTTCCAAAGCCGCGGCCCACCTCGCAGAGCCAAGCTGCTGTGCTGCCTCGGGGGTGGGGGGGCTTCGCGCACCGAGCACCCGCACCCACCCCCGCCCGCCACTCGCTGAGGTCCTGAGCGCCTGTCAGCTTTCAGCCCTGATGTCGGTGACAGGCGCTGACTTTGAATGGTGCCTGCACCCGGTTCTCAGTTATCTCAGCTGGGGGAGGGGGGCACATGGGCCGGGTCCCCACTCCCTTCCACGTGGCCCTCCAGAGCTCTGGCTTGTCACATGACACTCTGTGAGCCCGGCTGGCTCATCTCCCTGGAAGCCCAGCCGCACGGAGAGGTGGCCCACCACAGCCAGCCTGCTTGGGGTCAGCCCTTTCCCCAGCTTCCCCGAGCCGAGGCGGGTCAGCGGCCTCCCGGACGGAGGGCGGACAGGAGGTTCACTTGGGCAGAGTGGGCGCGTCTGCACGTGCCCCACATACCCACAGCAGGGTGCATTTCCCGAGCAAAATCAGAGCCCGCCCCAAACAAGCAGCTTTGCCGGGAAGGCATTCGAGGCCGCGAGCCTGCTGTAAAACATGCCTATTGGGCTGAGATGCGCCCGGAGAGCACACAGCACGGGGCCGTGGCGGGGGCTCAGGGCATGGTGAGGCCGGGCAGGTTGACCGGCACAGAGAGGGGACAGCCCTGTCCCTGCAGAGCTCAGCAGAGGCGGCTGCATGATTAGAGTCACTGGCCTGAACTGTGCCCTGCTGACCCCTGTGCCAACCCTGTGCTCCCCACGACCCCCCGTGCTCCCCACCCTGCTGTGCTCCCCATGCCCCCCCGTGCTCCCCACGACCCCCGTGCTCCCCACGCCTCCGTTTCCCCTGGACAAAGGCGACAGAGTGGGGCCTTCGCGGTCGTCCTGCCAGCTGACAACGGGGTCTCGGGACTCGGTTTCCTCCCGTGCTGCGGGCGGCGGGGTGTGGGCCTGCGGCCCCATGCACTGCTGGCTCTGTGGACAGACGTGGCAGGTGACGTGCGGGCCGGGGAGGCAGCACTGATGAACAATGGCTGGGACCGTCCTTCAGGACACTGCTTAGCACGCACCCGACTGGGCCCTGGCGGAGGGTGGGACTCGCGCTTGCTGCCAGGACGGGGTCCCCGCCTCCGTGTTACCGGGAGGGGGTCCCCACCTCCGTGGAGAGGGGTGACAGCGTGACCCCGGCCCGCACTGACGCTGCTCCCTTTCCCACGCAGGTCCATGTCGATCCGCTGGCCGGGCTGCCCGCTGCGAAGCCACACGTGGATGCTCATAGCCATGTTTCAGCTGGCGCTGGACCTGCCCGCGTGCGAGGCCC